TGCGACTGTTGAGGACTCCTGGATTGGAGCTGAAAGGCAAAAGGGAGCAGAATGTCCCCTCCCACATGTTGACGAGGTCCCACTTGTCATCTTCAGGCTGGTGTCTTCGGCTTCATGCTTGTGCGAGGAAGAAAACTTGCATACCTCTACTTGTGAAAATCTACAAATATATATATATATATATATATATATATATATATATATATATATATACATACATACACACACACACACACACACACATATATAAATAAAATTCCACATGAAATCCTGCATGGTTTCAGGGTCTGCTTATTCATGTACTGTGCTGAACAAAGCTATTACTGGATGATTCAACAATGCTTTTGTTTTGCAACTGTTTTTTTTTTTTTTTTTTTTTTTTTTTTTTGCAGATTGCAGTTGAGAGGGAGTACTGGTACAAGGTCGACCAGATGGTTATGGGAGGGCTAGAATGTGGATCTCCTTCCTCATAGTGCAGGATGTCAATCACTATACCACATGGGCTTTCTCATTAAATGATCATAAATCACTTATTAATTAAGGGTGGGCTGGGAGAACAATTAAAGTTAATACCTTGTATAATCTTCATATCAAAAAAAGCTATCAAAATCTTGGCATCAGCCTATAGCAAAGAAGTTGAATGACATCTTACGCAACTCAAGGGGTTCCTTCACCTGCTTTTAAAATTATTATCCTTAAGGCTTCATAATTTGAAAATAATGTTGCCCCTTTTATACAGGGTTCCTAAAAGCTTTCCCCAAAAACAGGAGTTAAAATATTTCATTCAGCTGAAACTGTTGATTTGGCAAAAGAGATTTCTAGAAGATATATTCCATTAAAAAAAAAACTCACATTATCTAATTGGATATTTCTATATTTTCAGAAAATAAAATTTTTACAAAATTCCAAAAACTGGAAAATAATTTATGTATGATCACTAAGAATTAGAATGTGATGACCCAGTGATTAAGATGATGACCATCTTGGCTGGAAAGCTGATAGATTCGAGACTTGAGCACCATGCAATGGGCAAACTCCTGTTACTTGCCCCAGTTCCTGTCTATCTAGCAGTTTGAAAGCATGTAAATGTGATAAGATAAATAGGTACTCTTTGGTGGGAAAGTAACATCATTCCACGTATCTCAGTGAATAATCATGCTGGCCACATGACCACAGAAGTGTCTTCAGGCAATGCTGGTTCCTTCAGCTAAGAAACAAAGATGAGCACTGACCCCTAGCGGAGAAACCTTTACCTTTACTAAGAATTAGCTGCCATTTATCTTGTAGTTATTACAGGTGATCTTCAATTTACAATCAGTTGTTTAGCATATCCCCCAAGAGGTACTCATGACCCGGTTCAAAAGTTCTGATGGCAGCCCCCCCCTCCCAGTCACATGACTGTATTTTAGGCACTTCACAACCAGTCCACATTTATGACCGTTTGCAGTGTCCCATGGTCATGTGACTCTGATTTACAATATTTTCGCTGAAAACTAGTTTACATCCTACACCTCCAAATCAGTGATGGGTTGCCCCCGGTTCGCACCAGTTCTATAGAACCAGTAGTAAAACCGGCGGGAGGCTCCACCCACTGATCCTGACATCGTCAAAATGCTTGCACATAAGAGTGTGTGCGCGCGCAAATGAAGCAAGTGTGCATGTGCGGCCCCATTACGAACCGGCAGTAAAGGTAAGTAAAATCCATCCCTGCTCCAAATAACTATAGAGCTTGCCTAGGTCCACTATCCTACTATTCCAAAGCTTAAGGGAATAACCAGATGTTTACAGTTTCAGAAGGCCAGGAGGCTAGTAACCTACTGGAACTCTAGGGGTGGGGTGGGATCTTCCAAAGAAAGGAGGCAGCTACCAAGAAAGCATGCTGTCTAGGTCCTACACGGTGGCAACATTTAAGAGAAAGGACCTGGAACTTACCCATATGGCCAGACTTAATGAAATGGGCAGGTACCAGATTATCCATAAGATAATCACTAATTCCATGAATCACATCCCAAAAGATGTGTAACATGGGGAAACCATAGGAGGCAAAAACTGCAGGTCTGCAGTTATCTAGGAGCAAGATATAAAGATTAGATATACGTATAATTCCTAACATAGGTATTCAAAGCTTCTGTTTCTGCTATTTTTGTTTCTTTCTATTATTTCAAACATAAATTAAACTTTACATTGTTACTGAGATAATGAGTAGAAACTATAATTGAACCAATACTAAATTTACCTTTTAAGTCAACAATTAATTGATATATTAAAATACTTTGCCGTCCAAGATAGATATTCAAATTTATTGTTAATGTTTAAATACTACTGTTGCCACAATTGATTAAATTATAGTAATTCCTTACAGTTTTATGCATCATGGAAACAGAAAATATCAACTATCATTTCTATGATGTTCTCTTTTCAACCAAAGAGAAGGCTAAGCAGCCATTTTCCTTAAAAGCCCTCTCTTTAGTTGAAATGCTTTAGAGAACTGAAGAGTGGCTGCTCAGCCTCCTTGTCTCCTTCTATCTTCAGAAAAATTTCATTCTATGATTCCTCGGGTTTTGAACAGTGTATTCTTATGTAGGATATGCAGTAAAATGAAGCAAGAAAAGGAAAACAGCCTTCTTCATTTCACCAGATGCATTGCTATCTTTCTAGTTGCTAGTGCTTAAAAAGTAAATAAATGGAAAAGCAGTATGAGTTTGGAATTAAGGAACTGGCGCAAAAGTTGGATCCATTGTCTAAACCCTTAAATTGGCTTGAGAAGAATGACCAGAGTTTCAGTTAATCCAATGATGAATCTCCAAATTCCACTTGGTTTCCCCCCCCCCCCATCTGCTTGATGTCTCACTCCATGCATGAGAAATGAGCTTCAGTATTGTCTTCTAAAAGTACAATATTTTACTGCATACTTTGTCAGCCTCAGCAAACTAAATTATTGCATAATTTAAACCATCTTCATAATTTACATATGGTGATAAAATGAAAAAATATGTATGTGATCATGACCATACACCCAAGCCATTACATAATCAGAGAAAAATAAAATCCAAATTGATGCTTTTCTCACCCTTCTTTAATTATTGATTCATTAACTTTTTCAAATACATCTGGCAACAATGAAGCCTCCAAGATGGACTCAGTCAGGCCAGCTTCACATCACAGAATTGTTTCCAAAACTAATAAAATTGTGTTGTGTTTTATTTCATCAATATATTTACAACTTGTGTATAAATTTTTCAAATAATCTATAACTCATACTAGCATACTTTTCTTGTTCTTTCACTCTGTGTACTATTTTAGCCTCTAATTTAGACTTTCTTATTTTTCTTTAATCTCTTTCATTGCAAGCAAAGTAATTTATTTCACATTGAATGTCACATGGGCTGCTGTCTTCTAAATAGTTTCTAAATAGTATTTAAAGGGAGCTTCATGTGGAGATGTGGAATTCATCGCAGTAGTCTAACCAGATGGTAATGGTTACAGTCACAATGGGTATAGGAAGGAAACTGGTGAAAGGTCCCTCTAACAATAGTTTCCACTTGATGCTTGAGTACGATCCATTTATGCAGATTTGCAAAGGTGCTCCTTCATAGATAATTGAAATCTGTCCAAAGAAACATTGGTGTCAACAGAAAATCTAGATGAATTCCAATTTGCCTGGTTTAATCCCAATCTTTTCTCTCCCATCCACAACCAGTCTTCAAGTTCCTTGGAATAAGAGGTAGACATCATTTCTCTATAGCACGGGCTATCAATGTAAAGTTGAGTATAGTGAATGCACTCATGATACCACATATTATACAGGATTGGAGATAAGACTGAACCTTGTAGCATCAATCAGTCAGGGGCTTCAGGACCAATGTCTCACCCTTTGCCGATATGAATTGAAGTGTTTTGCTGAAAAAAGGGAAGATCCACTGCACAACAATGCCATTACTCTCCAGTCATTGCAGACAGTTCTGATAATGGTATCAAAAGCCATCGGCTGGTTAAAACAGACCAGCAAAAGACCACTATGCATATCCAGGTCTTTTTTAACCAACTGATAGATTATCAACAACAGCAACCAATGCAATCTAATCCCATCTCTGGATCTGAACCGTGACTGAAAAGGGTCCAGATTATTCACTTCTGAACAGATCCAGACTGAACATTCTAGTAACTAATAAAAACACAACTATCTCAAGCTACACAATGTGCTGATTTCTCCTCATGAAGTGTCCTCTTCTGTAAGAAATACAAAAAATACAAATTACATTTTATACGGGCTAACTGATGCAGGCTTAGTATCAGGATATCCTTCAGAAAAAAGCCCTGAAAGAGCCAAAAATTTCACACAAACCAGTTTAGATAAAACTTCTGGTTTAAATAGGGTTTTAAATATTGGCGTGCATGCCAGCCTTTGGAACAGTAAGCCAAAAATACATAATTATTTAAAAGAACATAGTTCTCATTTACCGTGAGACATGTAATAATACATTTCTCTCACAAAGTCATCTACAGCACTAATTATCATCAACTTCTTCTTCTTCCTCCTCCTCCTCTTCTTCCTCCTCCTCTTTCTCTTCCTCTTTTGTTGAGGAAGATGCAAAGTTCTGTACTAATACCACTCTATAAAGTCTTAGTAAGACCACACCTAGAGTACTGCATCCAGTTTTGGTCACCACACTATAAAAAAGATGTTGAGACTCTAGAAAAAGTGCAGAGAAGACCAACCAGGATGATTAGAGGACTGGAGACTAAAACATATGAAGAATGGTTACAGGAACTGGGCATGGCTAGTCTAGTGAAGAGAAAGACCAGGGGAGACATTATAGCAGTCTTCCAATATTTGAGGAGCTGCCACAGAGAGGAAGGGATCAAGCTATTTTCCAAAGCACCTGTAGGCTAGACAAGGAATAATGGATGGAAACTGAACAAGGACAGATTGAACCTGGAAATAAGGAGAAATTTTCTGACAGTAAGAACAATCAACCAATGAAACAGCTTGCCTTCGGAAGTTGTGGGAGCTTCATCACTTGAGACTTTCAAGAAGAGACTACCATTTGTCAGAAATGGTGTAGGATCTTCTGTGAGAGCGGGGGTTGCACTAGATGACCTACAAGGTCCCTTCCAACTCTGTTAATCTGTAATCTAATCACATGAAAATAATATAAAAGAGTTAAGTCCATATTTTACAGCTATATTTACAACACAATCCTTTTCTTTAAATATGAAGGAGAAAAAGATAGTTATCCTTTCCAAATCTCTTTTTTTTTCTAATTACAAGATTAATTGTAATGTATAAAAAAATAGAGCTATCATATCTGTGCCCCACCATTTCAGATATCCACAAGATGGCAGAAAAAATAGTTTTATGTATCTCTTGTCTGCTATCTGGTTATCCAGAAAATCCAGTGGTTATCTGGATTTTTGCAGATTAGATATAGAAGCCTTAGTAAACAGTGCTTGGTGATTTATTCATTTGTTTTATATTAGTTGAAATTCTAATGTAATTTTGTCACTGAAGTAAATTGAGATGTAAAATTAGTAAAAAATACAGTATAACTATTGATGTCAAATAGAAAATTTTGATGCAATTTATCACCCAGCTATGTCACCTAGATATTAATTTTGACAATCTTTTGTCTATATGTGCATTTTTATTTCCTTAAATTAGGAAGAACCTAAAAGTATCTGGTACTGTCAAAGCACTCTATTTTTCCCCCCCCAAATTCCTTCTTTGTGCATTGTGAAATAAGACAGTAAGAAACAACATGGGTTAATGGTAGTCAGTTTCTTATATTTTAAAGAAGTGAAACAAGGCAATACATAATTCTTAATTCCCATAAAAATGACATACTGTTTCAGTAAAGAATCTTGTGGTCTGCTAATAGGTTGTACAGAAATACTACTTTGTAAATCCTCAAATCTCTCATTTCCATTTTAGGAATAAAAAACAAGTCTAAAATGACCACAAACACTTATTACAGTATGTGTCCTAATACTTTCCATTTGAAAAGTGAGTGCTGCATGGATGTTAGGCAAAGTGAATTATAGATTTGGGGCCTCCCTATTTAAAATAATGAATGCTTTTACTTGTTGAAGTTCAGTGTCATACCCTTCTGTATAAATCAAAGTCTGGTTGTAGTTCTAAAAATAAAACAATTCCAAGAAAATTAGATTGTTGCTAAAATGTAGGGCCAATATTATATTTTTCTTCAGATGGAAGCAATAATGCATATATTTATTCATTTACTAAAAAGTACACTTGCAATTTTTCATGTTATGTGTGCAATATTTTTAATGGCAAGTGCTCCTTGTTTGTTTGTTTGTTTATTTGTCACATTTAGATATCACCCATCTCACTCACAGAGTTTGCAAAAAAGCTTACATATTTTGATGATCAAAACATATTCTATCTAACAAACAAAAGTATATACATAGTGATCCACACCCATCTTTTTGGCCTTGAAGACATGGCTGTATCAACTATCTTGGATCCCTGGCACTTTGGTGGTGGCTAATGGAATAGATGACACCCCATGTAGTTCTTAGGTGCACTTTGTTTCTCTTTGTCTTTATCCTGGTTAATTTTAATTGAATTTTAAATGTTGTGATCATATGCAGTGGTGGGCTGCTGCATGGTCATAAGGATTCAGGTGAACCCTTAGCTCTGATCACTGGCTGAGCCCACCTACACACCCCTATCCATTTATAACTTACTTTCTGGCTCGTTGGCTGGCCCAGCTGCATTCCGCGCTGCCCCTGCTGTTCTCACCGGAGGTGCCTGAGCTAATTAGGAGCCTGTTTGAAGCTCCTTTGGGAGTTTCTCTCCCAAAGGGGCACACGCAAACGGACCAAGTGCATGTGCATGCTTACCCACAACCAGCAAACCCTTTGTTAAAGAAAGTGCAGCCCACCTCTGATCATAGAATAGAATTTTTTATTGGCCAAGTGTGATTGGACACACAAAAAATTTGTTTTGGTGCATATGCTCTCAGTGTACATAAAAGAAAAGATATGTTTATCAAGAATCATAAGGTACAACACTTAATGATAGTCATAGGGTACAAATAAGCAATCAGGAAACAATCAATGTCAATATCAATCATAAGGATACAAGCAACAAAGTTAAAGTCATAAAGTCATAAGTAGAAGGAGATGGGTGATGGGAACAATGAGAAGATTAATAATAGTGCAGACTTAGTAAATAGTTTGACAGTGTTGAGGGAATTATTTGTTTAGCAGAGTGATGGCATTCAGGAGAAAACTGTTCTTTATTGTATGATCCTTATTCATTGTTTTAATGTTTTCTGGTGCATTTTAATTGAATGTCTGTTGTCTATGGCAAGATGGGCAGCATACAAATTTATTAGATAGATGTAGATAGAGATAGATAGATAGATAGATAGATAGATAGATAGATAGATAGATAGATAGATAGTTTACTCACTACAGGCATTATTGGCATTTACTTAAGACAATATATAAATCAGGGTATGGACATGGTGAAAGGACTATGTGTATCAACAGAAAGGAACAGTGAAAGGTGTTGATTCCTTTATACCTACCCTATTCCCTTGTCTCTTTAATTTAATTTGGTTAGGTATTTTTTTACTTTTCTAGAAATTTTGTGAAAGAAATTTTGTGAAAGGCTGTTTATATATACCTAAGGTCAATATATTTATAATGTAGGATAGATAGAGTACTACTCAGCTTTTTAAAGTCAATATTGGCAAATCAGGTAAAGTCAGACCTGATTGGTGCTCAGACATGAGACCTCCTGTATATGCCAAGGCTAGAGGCTAAACAGGGAAGAGAACAATAGCAATTATTTTTTAATGGCTGCCAAGAAAGTATGCCAATGAAATCTTCAGGAGTTAAATTGGCCCAAATATTTTTTTTAAGGCAGATGAAAATGCTCTGAACTTTTACCAAGGGTCCTGTATTCTAATTGGAAGGATCAAAGGATTTCAAATCATATTTAAGCTGAGAAATATGATGGGAAGATGCTGGTCATGACCTCAGAAAGACACTATGATAAAAATAATAATCTAATATTATTTTTGTATTTTAGCTATAAATAAAACTAGTAGTTTTGTTTCATTTTACTATGATAAGCAGATATTCAGTAATGGATTGTGCAGAACTTTTGAATTGACAGAACTTAAGCTCTTTGGAGCATGCAGTGGTGTGAACGGAGCACTGGTCACAACTCCTTAAAAGCAGTTTTTCTTTTTCCCTCCTTTTAAATTAAAGGATAAAATGGGATACAGGTTTTTATGCAAATAAAGTATTGATTTGAACCTTGTAAAACATTGCTTTTATATGAAACCAAGGTAAAGAATGGTGTAAATTGTATACTAGAAGTTGGCAGAGACAGAAAAGGCAAAACTTTTCTAAATATTTCTTGACTCCCAGTGTGTTTTTCATGTGCCTGGGCCATTCTGGTACCTGATAGAAGAACAAATTCTTTGCTTTCATTTAGTTATCTTTACTTATTGAAACATCTTTCTTTAAAGCTTATTATGTAAACTCACAATAAAATAATTATGAAAAATAAAAGTTGACAATGTACAGCAACTATGAAATATACAATTAAATCTGCCCAAATCACTCTCAAAGTTGTGAAATAGTTGGCTTGAAGGTTTATCATACCCTTCAATATATTTCTGAACATATTATTCTCATGCAAAGGACATAATTTAGTACTAATATCAAGACACATTATGTCAATATGTACACTGATCAATTGCATTGTGATGCACATTTTGACATTAAATGGCCTACCAGAAGGCATTTCTGCAGGAAATAGAGCAGTCCAAAAAGCTCCAGCACCAAGTCTTCCAGCAATGTTTTGTGTTTCCACTGAGTAGGTCTAATGGGTTGCTCTGTACTTAGACAAGAAGCTTGCATAAGGATTTGGACAATTCTATTTAACAGATTAAGTCTATGCTTCTGCATCTATTTCCTGGGTGTAATCCTTACTGAACTTAGTAAAATTAAGAACTAAATGCTTTACTTAAATATAGATAAATAATTGAGAGTAAACTCAATTATGATAACCAATCTGGTGCAGTGGTTTAAGGAATCAGACTAGAAATGAAGAAACTAGCTGGATGACCTTGGATCAATCACACTTTCTTAACTTTGGGAAGAAAGCAATGGCAAACCACTTTTGAAACCTTGTCAAGAAAACTGCAGAGATAGGCAATCAATACTGGCTCAAATTCATGCAGAACCACAACACAAACTCAGATATGATTGCATTTTAAATGAATTGTGTTCTTCTTCAATATTTTCAATACATTCTGAAGCTAGAGTCATACTCATGCAAAACAACATCGCAAAAATGACCCCTGAAAGATATTTAATACAACCTGTGTCAACAAATTTGTTGTCACAGTTGGAACTGTGCAAGTCTTTGAAATAGACGCTTTAGAAGGCATAGAAGACATTATGAATTACTTCTTTTCCAATAATTAAAGCAGCTCTGTCTTTTTCCAGGCTCATTGCAGACCTCCTAGCTCTTTCTACATCCTTCTGCATCCATAGCCACGTTGCTTCACATCACTCAGAACAAAGTAAAATGATCAGGACCAGTTTCTAAAGCAGCCATGATAATCCTAAAATATGCGACTTTAGTAATTTAGAAAGTGGTGCTTTGTGTGCACTCCTACATTTTAAAGGATAACTCTATAATTTTGCACAAATCATGGACTCATAATGACAAATACAGTAAACAATGAGACAGAAAGCTCTTCCAAATGCTTTAAGTACCGGTATTTGTTAAATGAATCCTGTGATAATTTAAATATATGAAATATATAGTAACACCCACAACAAAGTTATTAGTGGTTTTAGAGTTTTAGCAGGTTTTTAATGCTTGTTTTTACTGAAATTAGAGAAAAATTATTTCAGATTAAATAATGGATTTAGGATTTCAACTCTGATATATATATATATATATATATATATATATAGCTAAGTTCTTGCTAATGTTTGTTCTAACTCTAAATTTTATTGTTACATTAAAAAAATTGTATTCTTGGAAAGCATTCTTTGATTTTGCACATGTTATTTTATAAAATTCTCTAACAATATCAGTTTTTGATATGCTGTTTTGGCCTGCAAAATCTGCATATAGGGAT